AATACAACAATGTAAACAACGAATAAATCTCAAGTCACAATGTTGGAAGTCTCCGCTACGAGTAGTTGACTCAAAGCCACGACTTTTAATTTGTTGTCAAGATCAAAGAACGTTGCAATAATGAGGTTCAAAGTCACAATGTTGGAAGCGTCTATCTACCTTCTCTCTTTTGAGCAATTTTGCCTTCCTCAAGCATCTATCTTTTGAGTGATGTTGTCTTCCTCAAGTGACTCTTTTGATCTTTAAAGAGCTTCCAAAGTTTCCCATATGGATAGAATGACTTTATTCTTTAGTCATAGTAATCCTACACCAAGATAGCATTCATTAGCCAATTATATGCTAATATCAAAGCTAAAATATGAACAATTAAGTAATAGTGTGCAACTTAAAACAGAATACTCCTTTTTCTATTTTGTGTATCCAAAATATACACAAATATGCTAATATGTGTCAATAATTCATAGAAAAAGTGCTGTTGTGACATAAAATCCTAGAGGTTAATAGCAGGCGATCCCTTAACCTAATACTTGCCAAAAAAAAAGTGCTACTGTTAATTTTAAAATTTGATTTAACTTTATTCTAGTGAATAAATAATTTAGTGAAAAAATAACAAATCACAAGCTGAAAACTACATAGGATTTTTTTTTTTTGCCTGTCCTTTTTACTAAATTAACCGAACATTCTTAAAAATGTTTTTTGATTTGTACTTATCGAAACTACGAAAAGGTATTGTTTAAGTTAAAACCCGCCAAAGGGATCAAAAGGTTGTACATTTTTTTTGGCCAAACAAAGCAATCAAGGTTTATTCGATGTCTATTGAGACTTGTGATCATATGGATGTTTGCCGAATGGCTCTTTCACTCAATCTCATTCAATTGATCAACCCAAATTAAGTGGATAAAATTTCAAGATATATTCCATTCATAAAAAAAACGAATCATTTTTGTAAATACACACACATTAGAATTGCTATTTATATCAAAATCTCTAACATATTATAAAGTTATTTATAAAACTTCGTTTATTTATTTGGTTATAACAGGCTGAAGAAAGTCATATTAATTCTCTTTAATTCACAAAACTTTGTAAAAAGATATCCAAGGCAAGAGACCGTAATAGAGCAATAGAATCGTTTTACGTGCATGAGTACTTTGTATGCCTAATTAGTAATTAATGGACCAAAAATATTAAAAATCAATGTATCAGAAATTGAACATGATTTCTGAAATTTTTCATTAATTAATCACAAAACTTTGTTAATTGTCCCTTAGAGTTTCTTAAAATTATAAATAATTTCTTGAGAGGATTTTAAGACAAGATTATGATTTGACATGAACTTCTAAGTTAATAATAATCTACTATCTATTGAAAACAATATTTTAAAATATTTAAAATTAAGCTATAAATTGAGAAGGAAACGTAGTGATTAGCCAATGAGAGGGAGGGTTTCATAAAAGAGGCATAGTTGAAACTAGGATCCATATCAATGGCTAGATCATCTTCATAAATGCGGATGATGCTTGTTTTGTTTGTGGTAATATCAAATTGTGAAGCAGAAGAGTATGTGGTTAGAGATAGTGAATCATCTTGGCTGCTTCCTCTTCCTCAAGCTGAGTGGCTCAACGAATGGGCTTCTACTCACCGCTTCAAGATTGGCGATTCTCTCTGTAACCCTAATTATTCACTCCTTAACATTTTAATCATTAATTTGTTCATCATCGCTTCAATCGTCATTAAAGATCTTTCTTCTTCTTCTTTGTTTCTTGGCTGATGATAGTATGGAAGTACGATGAAGGATCAGAGTCAGTGCTGCAAGTGAATAAGGAACACTATCATAACTGCAACAAGTCTAACCCTACTCAAGATCACAAAAATGGACGGGCTAAGATAGAGTTGAACAGGCCAGGATCATTTTACTTCATAAGTGGCACACGAGATCATTGTGAGCAAGGCTTGAAGCTGCATGTGAGAGTCTTGTCTGGCAATCACGCCATAGGAGATTGTCCTCATTGCATTTCTCCTCCGCCACAAGATCCTTTTTGTGCTACTTGTCATCATGCTCCGCCACGATTTAAATGCGAATCTTGTCATGTTCCTCCGAAAGAGGATTTTAATCCACCGAATGATTCTAAGGAAAAAGGATCTAAGGACAAGGGGTCTAAACAGAAAACGTTTCCACCATATCAAAACCATCACCTAAGGGATCTCAACCTCTAGGTGACACCTACCTTTTAATTCAATAAAGATTTGCGTATACATAGATCACTGGTTAGTTTGTCTCAAACTTAAGACAGGCTCTGATTTGTTTCTTGTGTTGTGACTCTTTTAAACGCACATATTGCTAGAAAAAGAGAAAAGAGAGAATAATTAAGCGAAATGTGTGTGACCAAATTCTACATATGCACACAAGAGCACAACGAGGTCGAGCTAGCAATTTTGACTTTGTCTAACTTCCTTGTTGATGAACTATTTCTATGAGTCATATATAAAACAAACTAAAATACTCATAATAAAGATAGAGATGGACCAAAACCCCTGATTTCAAATTTTAAGGATCAAAACAAAATGAGGTCAAATTTTACAGGCAAAAAATGATATTAACCCCTTTTAAAAGTAAGATTTGTGTCGTTTGGAATCATTAGAAGAATCATAATCCTTTTTCTTGCTAAAATTAAAAATCAAAGCCTTTTGGAATCAGAAATTTTATGGGGGAAAAAAACATAAGCAAAAGAGAAGTTTGGAATTTAATCACATGGAAACTTGGCTTTTGGCTACTTTAATTTCGAACATAATATTTAGTTACTTCAATCAATATGACAGTGGTCTTTATTCATTATGCACCAGAGTATACATTATGATGTCTTATTCATTAGTAGTCTGTGTAATTGCTTAGTTTTTCCTCAGTAAATGAGATTTATGCTTGACAGTGTGTCAATCTCGCAATATAATTTTTCAACAGCACATCCTGCTTTTTATTACTAAGAGCGGGAAGCAATAACGCACGGAAGAAAAGGAAAAGAGCAACTTCTTTTGAAATCAGTTTCTTATCGTTGCTATGAAAATCTACATAATCCAAATACAGTTTCAAATGGTTCAGATTTAAAATTTTCAACTAATAATTTTTTTAAAAAAATTTTGAAAACTAATAATTTTTTAAAAATAATTTTCAAATATTATCTTTATTGTAAATTCTGTAGACATCAAAATAAGTTTTTTCTAAAATAAAAGTAGAAAAATTTATATCCGAACGGTCTAAACATTGGTGCTGATCTCCATTGATATAAGCACCGAAACCACTCCCCTCCTTTCCCCTTCACTCTGTTTGCAACTAGGGATTGGAGATGATATATAAAATAAGTTTATTCAGTGATGATCTCTACCTCTTACTGATACATGGATTTATATACAACCTGTATTCCTATAATACCACACTACACAATATATATATATATATATATATATATTATACAGATACAATTCAATCTAATATTGATTGGTCAGATATTATTTGCTGTGGAATCTTATCAGTTAACACACTCTCTTTCTATCCATTTGCTATAGATTCATACAAGTAGATGAGCAAAATATGGTTCAAATGTAATGCTGTATGAATATATTATTATTAAAATGTTAAATCTGAAACGTTTACACTGAGAAGTTTACTCGATCGACATCAGAAAAATCTTGGGGAAATTTGAATACCCGCATGAACCAAGAGTTAGAATTAATAAAATTGAAGGAGCATAGATATAATAAAAGACTGAGAAAGTCAAAGTTGGTCCTAGTCCAAAAGAGGTTGATCAAAATGGTATTTTGATCTTTTACGTGGGTAACGACTCACACTCTTTGTCCAAAAGAAAAAAGGAAAATCACACTCATGCCTGAGCATTCATCTGATCTATAGCTAGACTCCTCCTACGAAGTCATCTTTATAATAGTTACTAGCCCCGGTCTTAAATATAAGAATTAGTTAACTAATTTGAATAGATTAAGGAAATAAGTTAAGTTATTTACTTGTAATAAATAGGTATTGTTTTTTCTAAATTATCCTTACCAATCAAGTTTGTTGGCTAGAACTACTATTATTGAAAGGACTATCTTGAAAAAAAAGAGAGATAAATATGAGAGATAAAGTGAATTGGGATCTTATATTTAGAATTAAAATAAAAGTTAAATAAAGTCTTATATTAAGAACTGGAGGTAATATGTTATGAATAAAAAAAAGTTACTATTTGCATAAATCATTTGACTCTACGGCCATATAAGAGCTTTAAACCCATTTATTACCTTATCATGTTAGAGACGAATTGAACTAAGTAATTCAAAGATTAACTATCATATGCAAAGAACAAACATTGCAACCAAAGGTTTACTGAGATTATTAAAATTCAACCATACTACCTCTAGTTTTTAATATAAAAGCTAGTTAACTAACTTGAATAGATTAAGAAAACTAGTTACGTTCGTTATTTGTAATAAATAGGTGCTGTCTTTCTTAAAATATGCTTGCTAATTATATGTGTTAGTTAAAATTACCATTTAATGAAACATTTAACATATGTAATTACTACAAAGATTACCTTAGAAAAAATAGATAAATATGAGAAACAAAATATATTTTGGTCTTATATTTAGAATGAAATTAAATGTCAAAATAACTATTGTATTAAGTAACTTCTAACTGTACCAATAATATAGGGCTTAGGGCACAATTAACGTAGATGATCATAGTGGAAAGAAACAACCTAATGCCTAATGCGATGGTAAAGCGGACATTGGGCCATTCAGTAACTTCCAACTGTGCCAATAATATAGGGCACAGGGCACAATCAAGAGCCAAAATACAAAGTCTACCATATAACCCGCACTAAGAATTCAAGACATGTTATTTGCAGTACACCATTGAGTGAATAAGTACAAATACTTTAATAAATTACCACATAAACTATTTTGCCTTTCTCGAGTTTTTCTTTTGATCTTTCTCCTTTTTAAGAGCTTCCAAATTTCCCTTGTGTAGATAAAATGGTTTTATTCGTCAGTCACAGTAATCCTACACCAAAAGAGCATTCATTATCCAATTAAATGCCAACATCAAAGCCAAAATATATACATAATAAACTAATAGTGTGCAATTCAAAACATAGTGCCTATTTTCTATACAGGTATGGCGATTTGTGTCCATAATTCAAAGAAAAAGTGCTGATGTGATATAAAATCCTAGAAGTTAATAGTAAGCCATTGCTTAACCTAATACTGGCCAAAAAAGACTAAATCACTAAATGCGAACTTTTCTTGAGAAAATCCCAAAAAAATGTTACTCAAATTTTAAAATTTTAAATCAGTCTTGTTTTCTACACTTGAATACCAATTAACTGTACTTAAAAAGTAAATAATAACATTTTTTGAAGAAACTTATAATTTAAAATTTTGAAATTTAACTGGTATTTTTTTAGATTTTTCTATTTGTTTTTTGTTTTGTTGCTATTAGGAGTGGTAATAGTCTAGGAGGTCGTAGGCCTACATTAACTTTTTTGGTCGTTTTTGTTAGAACGCTGGACTTATTTAAAGTAATCAAATGTTATTCGGTGTCTATTGTACTTTGTCATCATATATATGCCTAGTCAAGTGGCTTTTTCTCACAATCTCTTATAACTGATGAATCCTAATTAAACAATAAGCAGATAAAAATATGCTTTTACCCAATAAAAAATTAGTTCAGCTCTGTATTTACGTGTGTATTAATAACAGAGAACAAATGTTTTTAGCAGTCATATATATTAGCAACTTTCATTTATTTGTTTTGATTGGATTACAAGGGAATTAGTTGAATTTAACTTAAACTAATCAAATTAAATTTTAGTTTTAAAACTTGATTTGAATTTTGTTTTAATAATTAATTTAATTTAATCAATGAAAAAAAAATAACAAGTTCATAACAAATATATAAGATATTTATTGTTAATAAAGGGACCAAAATAACAAATCACAAGTTCCCAATCACAACTATGTAGTTTTTTTTTTTTTTTTTTGCGTAGGTGCGACACTCTGCTATGTGCCTCTATTAAGTTAATCGAACATACTTAAAAATGTTTTGTGATTTATACTTCTTTAAATTACGAAAAGATATTATTAGTTGAGGTAAAACCCACCAAAGCAATCAAAGGTTTTCTTATTTTGGCCAAATAAAGCAATCAAAGATCATTCGGTGTCTATTGTGATTTGTGATCATATGGATGTTTGCCAAATAGCTCTTTCTCAGTGTCTCATTCCATTCATCAATCCTTATTATATACTTATTTATACTTTTATAGAGACTTTGTTTGTTTATTTATTATCACAGGTTGAGGAAAGTTTTATTAATTCTCTTTGGTGCTCTTTGTTTCTATTTATCAGTTTTTTCCTATTATTGTCTGGTATTCATGACTTTTTTTAAATCTTATTACCAATTGTCCAAGGAATCGACTAATCCGATTCAAGATTCATAACTGTCCCTCCTAATACAGGTGTTTCTAATTATAAATTACTTTTAACATATTTTACCACAATAAAAAAAACGTTAAACCTCATTAATTCTTTTTTAAAAGTTAACTTTCTAAATTTATTCCCATTTAACACACCATATCATGTGAGAACAAAATCTACTCAATAATAAATATAGAGTAAAATGATACATTTTCATATGAAAAATACAACGAGGTAATAGGACAAAGAAATTCTTCTCTGTTTTAAATAGCAGGATAAGGTCACAACAATGGGCACGCCAAAATAGTGCTGAATAGGCCAGGATCATTTTACTTCATAAGTGGTATACAAGATCATTGGGAGCAAGGGTTGAAGTTACATGTGAGAGTCTTGTCTGGCAATCATGCCTCAGGAATTCCTTACAGTTCTTGTCATGAAATTTCAAAATGCCAATCTTTTCATCGTTCTCGAAAAAGGGAATCTGAAAATAAAAATAATTTTCAGGAAAAAAGAATCTAAACAGAAAGAATCCTGGGGAATAAGAGCCTAAATACAAGGAGTCTCCACCATATTAAAATCATCTACAGAATCTCGACTTGTAGATTATAGAACGGCTTGAGTGCTGTCAAAGATTTATACTACGATGTCACCATTACCTGTCTAGCTAGGCTTCTTTTTGTAGGGTGACCTTTATAATTAGAGCCGGTAATACGGGCCAACCCGCGCAATTACGGGTTGACCCGTGGCGGGTTTAA